TTCCTCCTCCTCCTCCTCCTCCTCCGCTCCTCCTCCTCCTCCTACCTCCTCCTCCTCCTCCTCCTCCTCCTCCTCCTCCTCCTCCTCTCCTCCCCTCCTCCTCTCCTCCTCTCCTCCTCCTCCTCCTCCTCATCCTCCTCCTCCCTCCTCCTCCTCCTCCTCCTCCTCCTCCTCCTCCTCCTCCTCCGCCTCCTCCTCCCCCTCTCCCCTGCTCCTCCTCTCCTGCTCGTCCTCTTCCTCCTCATCCCCTCCTCATCATCCTCCTGCCCCCTCCCCCTCCATCCTCCGTCCTCCTCCTCCTCCTCCTCCTCCTCCTCCTCCTGCTCCCCTCCCCCCTCTTCTCCCCGATCGCTCGCGGGCAAGGGTGGACGGTTGTGGCCGTGGTGGTTGTTGACCGCCAGGCAGGGCGGGTTAGAAACACTGCCGCAGCTGCCTTTGGAGCTTTCTGCTCCGTCCCTGCGGCCCCCTCCAGAGGGGGGCTCCCAAGAGGCCCCCAAATTACCCCCCAGAGGCACCCGAGAGCGCTCCGAAGAGACCCCGAGAAGCATCCCTGAGGACTCTGACCCACGTCGGCATCATCGTCGTCGTCATCGTCGTCGTCGTTCAGGACCAGCGGCACCGGCCGTAAGGTCTCTCCATAGCTGCCACAGCTGGCTCTTGAGCTTTCCGCTGCCTCCCTGCGGCCCCCCCAACGGAGGGGGGCGCAGACGGCGCTGTGGGGCACACGGCGCGTTTCCTCCTGCCGAGACTCGAGCCGATGTCCGACCACTCGTGCAACCCTCCCGCCACTTGAGAGGGTTAAATGGAGCCCAAAGGACACACAACCAATTACACGCACGAATTCCAGGATTCCACATACTTTCGCCTTCCCCCCCACTTCCCATATTTTTGGACACCTGGGCATCGGCGATGAAGTGTGCCTCTTTTTGCTTTTCCCCTCCCTGAAGGGTGGGCGGCAGACTGGGGCCCAGGCCCTGCTCCTGCGAGGAGGTGACCTGGGCGCCGCTGTTGGGGAGCGGGGGGGGGGGGAGGAGTCCAGCGAGGGGGCCGGGAAGGAAAGAGGAGAGGCGACGAGAAGGAGGAGGAGTAGGAGAGGAGGAGTGAGGGGGAGAGGAGGCGGAGTAGAAGGCGGGCGGAGGAGGATGGAAGAGGAGGACCGGAGGGGAGGAGGAGAGTGGAGGAGGTAGCAGGAGGAGGGGGGGGAAGAAGAGGCGGCGGCGGCGGCGGCGGCGGCGGCGGCGGCGGCGGCGGCGGCGGCGGCGGCGGAGGAGGAGGAGGAGGAGGAGGAGGAGGAGGAGGAGGAGGAGGCGGAGCGTACCTGGGGGAGGTCGTCGTCACTCTACTCGTCTGCCTGCCCTCCGTGCCGCTCTCCCTGAGAGAGCACGCGGCAGGGGCCTTCACACTGTTGTGGTCGCCTGCTTGCAGCCAGGGGGCCTGAAAAGGAGGCCTGCTCCGCAGCAGACAGCACCCTGCTCCCAGCACAGTTGCGGGGCATATCATAATCCACGAAGCGAAACCGGGTGAGGTGGGGCGGGGACGAGGCATCATCGGAGCGAGGGGAACGAGGGGGAGAGGGAGCCGACTCTGGCGATGCTGGAGTTTGAGGCCCGCCTGCAAACATGGCCTGCTCTTCGGCAGTGATCACCCTGATCCCACTGGGAACGCGGGGCAAATCATAATCAACGAACTGAAATTCGATGAGCTCATCATCGCGACAGGGACTGGGCACTGAGGGGGGATCAGGAGGGATCGAAGAGAGAGATGGCTGAGGCGACGCAAGCAATGGGAGACCTATTACCTCAGAGCCCCGAGCCTCACTCATGGGGTCGTCCTCCTCGTTGGCTCGGCGGGCCGCTTCGATGGCCTCACGCAGGGTGAGCCGACGAAGAAGTGCCAGCTGCTGTCGTCCACGAAGAGGGACCCTCAGCGCGATCTGCGCAGCAGGGACCAGCTCCAGCGCCCGTGCGTAGGTCGGTGGGGAACTGTGCCGTGCCGCCATCAGCCGATAATGGTGGTAGCAGGCAATGAGAGAGGCCGGAGTCGGCCCCAAAAGCCCAAGTCGATGCCGTATCTCGCCAGGGAGATCTTCACGAAGAATGAGGGCGCCGAAGTGCGCACACCGATAGCACTCCACCAGATAATGTCGCATAGTATCAGGACCGCCACAACCATAGATACACCGCGCCTCTCGCTGCATACGTCGGTGAGTGATCCATCCCCCGAGGTACGACCGCACACATATGAACGCCCAAGATGCGGGCATTAGCTGCAGCTGACTGATGACCGTGGGCCAGCACACATCACGAATACCAAAGTGCTTCTGCACACGGGCGGCGAGTAGCTCCTGGAGTCTGTCAGGGAAGACCGCCCGCTGGAAGATGTCGGTGAGAGCCGCCTGCCACTTGGGTGCTCGGGAGAGTGACACACCTTGACCTTCCGCTGGCTCCGCAACACGACGGGCAAGGCTCCAAGGGAGCTGACAGGGAGTGGGTCCAGCACGAAAAAACTCGATCACCTCATCGGGGACGGAAGAGTCGCCGCCTCGCCATAGACTTAATGCCATTTGTCCTCCCGCTTTCAGCAGTTGGGACGATGGAAAGCCCTTCGCTGCCTCTTCCAAGCGGCAGGCAAAAGGTGGGGCCAACCAGAAGTTCGGAGCCAGGACGTCACTGGTAGCTTGGGAGAACGTGCCATATTCCCAAAGAAGATCACGATGTCGTTGCAACTGCGAGCGCCATGTCGAACATGTGACCAGAGCCGCACGAAGACGCGCGGCGGCAGCGATGCAGAAGATCGAGCTGAACCTCGGGCCATTCACCGTGCTCAGCGCGAAGCAGTCACCAGTCCGAAGCATACTAGCGGGAGCGCGCAGGATGCGGGCAAGCAGAAAGCGCTGCTGTTGCCCAACCCGCCAAGGAAGAGGAACCAGCTGGGCAACGTACGACAGCGTGGGAGCGGCTCTTTGACGATATAGCGCAGCAGCCGTGGAGAGAGCTGCGCCCTGTGACGAAATTGCGGTAGTGCGAGTAGCATGCTTGAGAACAGGAGTCGACCATTGACTGTCATCTGTGGCTCCAGGCCCAATCTGAAAGCCAAGATAAGTGCACGCAGGAACAATCGCGAAATCTGCCCAGGCGGGGTCGGCCCCCACAAGTTGGCGTCGAAGTAGGGTTCCGTGTTCGGGCATAGATGGGTCACGCAGAGGTATCACATTGCACTTTGCAGGCTTAAGTCGTAGCTGAGCAAACCTCGAAGCATGTCGAAATACTCGAGCCAAACGTGGATACGCCCTGTTATGGAAGAGGACTGCCCCAAGATCGTCTGCACAGGCACGAACGACACCCAGGAGACGCCCACGTGCGACCAAACAATGTTCTAAGTCCAGGAGAAACGGGTTGCTCGCGATGACATAAAGCGAACCACTCAACGGACAGCCCTGAAGCACCCCTGAGTTCATGTGGTATAGGTACGTCGGGGAGTCGCCAACGAAGTAGCATGGAGTGCAGTGGTAAAGGGAGCGGAGAGCGCGAACCAGAGGGGCAGGAATCCGAAGTCGGGCGAGACATTGGAATAGCCACTCCTGGGATACCGATGGGAAGGCCTGGGCGAAGTCAAACGCAATCAATGACGGAGCTTGGGAGGATACAGCAGACATAATACTAGCCGAACGAGCGTAGAGGTCCAAATCGACGATATTATCCAAAAAGTTGCGCCTCCGAATAAAGCCCCGTTGCGATGGGGCCCCGATCTTCTGCGTGATCCAGCTCATAGTCTGGTTCAGTACACTGCACACCACTTTATTCGAAGAGTTCTTGAGTCCCAGCGGGCGGGTATCACCAGGGGCCCGTACAACGCCACCATCGTCGGGATCATGGGAGGGGGCCTTTGGGTCCTTGGGGAGGAAGACGGCCAGCAACGCTGTGAAATTGGAAGGCATGAAATTCCCCAGAGCAATCCAGCGAAGAACTTCGAGAAGGACCCTAGACCCCGAACCACATCTCCAGGCCGCATAGTGAAGCCCGTCGGGGCCAGGAGCGGACCAGTTCGACTGCTTAAGTGCACGTTCTACATCGCGAAGGACGGGCGGGCGTACCTCTGAGAAGTCCTCTGAGCTGCTGAATCTGTCTATGTATTTCTTGGCGATGGATGGGACAGAGTGGGTCTTGGAGAAAACAGGGCCCCAATATGAGGCCAATGCGTCCACCATCGGGGACTGGGAAGGAGGTGCAGGTTCCGCCGCCAGTGAGCCACCCGCCAGCATCTCCGAAACCGAAATCATCTCAGTGGCCGTGACCGATGCTAAATACTTACGCCGAGAAAGTGGGTTCCATAACTGGGCAGATCGAATGATAGCACGACGACGCCCAGCCAGACGAACCCTGACCGTGTTAGATGACGACTGGTTGATCTCTGACTCAAGAGCTTTCCGACGAGATTCAGCTTCTTGCCGCTGCCACAAACTATGAAGATCATGGAAGCCACCAGGATCGATGAAAGAAACATCCTCACCATCTACACGTATGAGCCTCTGCGTCCAGGGGTGCTGGAAGAGAAGAACTCGTGCAAGACGGGCGTCACCACGCCAGACACATCGCGCGACCGAACGAGAAATCATAGCCCGAGAGGTCAGAGAGGATGGCGCAGCACGGCAGATGGCATCGCGTGCAAGAAGCCCAGCAGCCTGTCGAACAGCGGTGGCAGCAGCGAGCATTCGCGGCGGGTCGAAAGCAAGATCTTCAATGCCCACCTGGGCTTCCATATGGGAGACCAACTGAGCATAAATCTTGTCTTTGTACACCCAACGCGGGAGGGGCCTCTGGCGTTTAGTTCTAGTGTGATCCCGAGGGCGCCAGACGATCTCCAGAGGCGAGTGGTCCGAAATACCTCGGTGGGCCAACTCGTGAGGTTCATCACGGACCGATACTAGCTGAGCAGTTTGACACAGAAGCCATGGTGGGGATGCGACAAAGAGACGATCGATTTTGGACTCACAGGCAGTCGAGGCGTGCCAATGGGTTGGCGCCTCCGAGGCGAGCTCCGTCATGTCCCTGAAGATCTTCAGCCAGCTCGAGTCTCCAGGACGGGACGCCCTCGTAGAGCCAACCCGCAGGGTGGAGTCGCCACGCTGGTCCCCACCGGCGTGCGACGGTGCTGATGTGGGCTGCCCCCTCTGCGAGCCTTCCGTCGACGCAGTACTGGGGGAAGCTGCAGACGGGGGAGAAGATGAAAGAGACGACGCCGAAGAAGGGGTCTGACTCGGAGAACATGGCCCAGAAGGTGAAGTACATGTGGCCACTGTTGTCCCCGACGATGCCGAACGCGGAGAGCATGTGGCCGTGGGGTTGTGACTTTGCAGGGCTGAATCCTGCCCCCCACGGCCTGACGAACATGGAGTACAGGTGTGCCCCTCGCCACGATGGTGTTCGATAGGCGTCGCAGGAATGTTGAAGTCGCCCGTGAGGATCACAGTGAACTTCATCGGATCATCCCGCACTCGCCGAAGTTGCGATTGAACACATGCCTGAATCTCCTTCAAGCCATCGGCGTTAATGGCAAAATTGTGCACATTCCAGTGGTAGATGGTGAAGTCGACCTCTGAATTATGTATAGTAACTAGCAGCACCCGACCAGCGACGAAGCTCTTCCCCTCGGCTCGAACGCTTGGGTGCTTTGGAACGAGGGTGGCGACACCTCCAGTCCGAGGCGTCACCGACTCAGAAACGAAGCATGAGTGCGTCGTACAGTGAATCCTCTGAAGAGCTTCTTCCATGGCACATTCACCACCGTGGATCTCCTGTAACGCCACTACTTTGCCAGCCCCCAACAGTTTGCTCAGGTAGCTGAGCTTCCTGCTCAAAATCGCTGGTCTGTAGTGTAACAGGGCCCCCGTGTTCCAGGTCGTGAAAGCCAGAAATCCCACACCAAACACTTCGTTACCCACTCCACCGTACTTCACGTGTGTCGAAGACCTGGCGAGCAAGCTCATTGGCCTCATCCCTGGACAAGCCAGTGTCGGCCAGTGCAGGGAGATTCCATTCCACCTTCGGCGTTCTGCTTGCAGGTAAAGGGAGCACCCGCACCAAGGGCTCCCACTTGGCCAGAAGTTGACCATTGTCCTTGTCGAGAAATGTACGGATGCCACGGTCGGTGAGACCCCGTTGCAGCTTCTTGCAGGCAATCTCTGTGGCGACCATCTTTTTGTTCTTGTCCGCGGAGACATGGATCGGCACCGACTCAGTGCCCACGTCAACACGGAATGCACGCCACGCCCCATTTGGCAGTCGGAGCTGCTGCTGGGCCTGACTCCTTCTCGAGGTACGGGTTGCTTCCATGGGGCCTTGAAATGCAAGAGTAAAAGATTTGGCGACGTCATCTCCATGCAGTTCCACACCGTCCCCGAGAGGGACGTTTGCTTCGGTGAGCCAAGGAGCCAGGGCCGCCGCCACAGCATTCTTAGCCACCGCAGAGGATGCCCGCACCGTGAGGATGGAGAGGTCCACTTCCCTGTCCCACTCTGGGTTCGGTACAACGGGAGGACGCGGCTTCGCCTTTGCCAGGTCGAGCTCTTTTTCCAAATGCGATAGCCGGTGAGCGATGCCCGCCACAGTGCTGTCGAGCAGGTCCGATCGAGCACGCTGTGCATGGACTTCACCGTCGACACGTCGTAGCTGCTGGTTGAAGCGCTCCTCATACTTCTCCATGAGTGGGACCGTGGCCGCACTGAGCGCGGCAGGGAGCTGTGCCAGGATGGCCTCCATCGCTTTCTGTGTGAAAGCTTGCATGGCCTCTGCCTGGAATGAGTCCGAGGATTGAGCAACGTGTCCGACAGCATCATGAGATGTGGTTCCATTGGACGCAACCACCGTCGCCCAGGGATCAGGCGCACGGCCTTCCGCAGAGGTGCCAGGAGTCGCCCATGGCCTTGAGGCTGGTGGAGTCGGCCAGGGTGATGGGGAGGGCGAGGCCGTCGCTCCCCCAGTTGCAGGAGGGGCAGGAGGAGGAGGAGGAGGAGGAGGAGGACGACGAGGACGAGGAGAAGACGCTGCACCAGAAACACATACAGATGTGAGGGGAGATGTGGCACTTGCGGAGGACGAGGGAGGGGGGAGCAGCTAGCATGATGAGGGAGGAGCAGGAGTACGATGATGGGGCGGACGGCAAGGATGATGAGAGGGTCAGCAGTATTAGGAGGGGGCGGAGGAGCAGGAGGAGGAGGAGGAGGGTGACGGGGAGCAGGAGGAGGAGGAAAGAGGAGAAAGAGGAGGAGGAGGAAGAGGAGGAGGAGGGATAGGGATGAGGAGGACGTTCTAGGATGGGGTGATGAGGAGGATGAGGGGGAGGATGATGATGAGGAGGAGGCGGAGGAGAGAGAAGAGAGGAGGGAGGAGGAGGAGGAGGAAGAAGAGGAGGAGAAAGGAGAGAGGAGAGAGGAGGGAGGAGGAGGAAGATGAGGAGGTGGCGGAGGAGGAGGAGGGAGGGAGGGAGGGAGGGCAGGAGGAGAATGAGGAGCAGGAGCAGGAGCAGGAGGATGAGTAGGTCGATTGCACCTCTATAAAAATGTTTCAAACCCCTAGACCAACACAAGCGTTTCAGTAGAATCCCCAGGCGCTCCTATCTGTCATAGGGGTTCTAAACTTCGACGTATGCAACAGTGGTGCTCTGTTGCACACACTTGCTGTGGTGCACGCAGGCGCCGTGGTGTACACAGGCGCTGTAGTGCATGCAGGCATTGTGGTGTACACGGTTGCTGTGTTGCACACGGCTGGTGTGGTGTACGCATGCGCTGTGGTGTACAAAATCGCTGTTGTGCCCGCAGGCACTGTGACACACACACACACACAGACTAGCGCTGCGTTGTACGCGGCTGCTGTGTGGTGTACATGGGCGCCGTGATGTACACAGGCGCTGTGGTGCACGCAAGCACTGTGGTGTACACAGGCGCTGTGGTGCAGATCGCCACCTACATGGTGCTGCTACCCCTCGTCGATCATTCCTGACTACCTACCAGAGCACGCCAACCCAACCCGAAGACCCGAATTTGACCCGAATTTCGGGTTGGGGGGGGGACGGGTTTCATGTGTTTTGTTCAATGTTCCCCGACCCCCTCCCATTGTAAGTGGAAGGAAAATTGAAGCCTTGGGGTTGGGTTGAGGTCGTTTGGCGGGTGGTGAATTCCCTAAACAAAAAAACAAAACAAAAAAAAAAAAAAAAAAAAAAAAAACCTAAAAAAAAAAAAAAAAGAAAAAAAAAAAAAAAAAAGAAAAAAAAAAAAAAAGCAATTCCCAGACGCCGCCGGCGAGAATCGCGACGTCACCGGCCCTCGAAAACCCACCCAACAATCTGGACACAGCCCGGAAACGCAGGGCAGAGGAACGCCACGAAGAGGGAGTCAGGCGCAGTCATGTCTGCACGCAAAGGCACAGGCGGAGCTCCGCGCGAGCATCCGGATTTGGGTGGCTCACGGATCAAAAGAAGCAACAGGCAAGTGGGGAAGGCAGAGGTCGAGGACACAGTCCTCGACAGAGAGGAGGGAAAAGGAACGACATGCGCTCTGCAGGCGCGGCCACTTCACCGCATCAGCGACATCGGAGAGAACTCGCAGCGAGCGGACAACTCTAGGATGGGCTGGGGATCCGCCGCAAGACAATGCAAAACGCATGGCAAGTGGAACATGGAAGAGGGGAGACATGCGTAGAGGAAGGAAGGATGAGGAAGATGCGGATGGGGGGCACTCGAAGGAGGCTGTAACGCAAGGCTCAGGACAAAACCTTTGCTGCACGCGCGCCCACTCACAGCCCAGGACTCCAAAGAAAACCTGGGGGCCCTGGGGCGAAGGGGACTGTTCGGCAACGGGGACATTGAGTTCCCAAAACACAAACCAGGAATACACAAAATTTCGCGCCATCGGCGCCACGGAACATTACGCACCGTTTTTTGTTGATATCGCAAGCTTGTGAAGCTCACCTCAAGAAGTACCAGAGGACCATTCAGTCTTGAATTTCGGTGTCTGAATTCTTACATGTATGATTCCTTTCCGAAGCATCCCTCCTGCTCACCCTGACCTGCTCCGTCCACCGTCTGCAACGGAGACGGCCGAACGCGGTTCCACGGAGTCGAGGCGCGCACACGCTTGACATCGATTCAAACAAGCGGCAGCACGCTACGCCTGACTCGCGCGTGAAGCGGTGGCAACAAAATCTGGCACGCAACACAGCGCCCCCGCTGGCTGGCCGTCCCCTGCCTACTCCACCGACCGACTGCTCCGGCCTCTTTTGCCACCATCCCTCCTGCTCACCCTCGACTCCTCTTTTCACTATCGGCAAACTGCTGATCGCGGTGTCACGGAAAAAAGGCGCGCACACGCTTGCCATCGATTAAAACAAGCGGCAACGCGCCAAGCTTGACGACCATTCGGACGACCTGGCAGCACATCGGAGGCGCGAGGTCCCCCATCTTGTTTTGCAGGTGGGAGTAGGGAGGAGGGAGAGGAGGAGACCGCACAGATGCCACAAACGTCAGCATTACAATCACAATCGCCCTCATCGGCATCATCTCCACCATCATCTCCACCATCATCATCATCATCATCATCATCAGCAGCAGCATCATCAGCAGCATCATCATCATCACCATCATCAGCATCAGCATCATCATCAGCAGCAGCATCATCATCACCCACAACCATCAACGAGGAATGAGGAACAGGAGGGAGGAGGGGGGGGAGGAGAACGAGGAGAAGGAATAGGAGGAAGATGGAGGTTCCGCTCCTGGGCGTAAGACGCTGGGGCAAGGGGTGAGACGTTTCAGGAGGAGTGCGGAGGGGTCTGGAGGAATGGGAGAATCCCAGAGGATTGGGAGGAGTGCGGAGGGTTGAGGGGAAATGGGACGGTTGTGGGAGGTGTGGAAGGAGTGCGGTGGCGTGGGGAGAACTGGGAGGGTTGCGGAGGTTTCGGGGGGAGTGCGGATGGGTGGGGAGGAATGGGAGGGTGGAGGAAATCTCTTTGGGGAGGAGTGCGGAAGGGGTGAGGGGGAATGGGACGGTTGCAGAAGGTTTGGGAGGAGTGCGGAGGGATGTGGAAGGATAAAAGGGTTGCGAAGGTGTCGGGAGGAGTGCGGAAGGGCGCGGAGGAATGGGAGGGTTGCGGAGGTCTCTTTCGGGAGGTGTGCGGAGGAGTGGGGAGGAATGGGGCGGTTTCACAAGGTTTGGGAGGAGTGCGAGGGGATGTGGAGGCATGTGAGGGTTGCGAAAGTTTCGGGAGGAGTGCGGAGGGGTGTGGAGGAATGGGGGAAAAGCGGATATGTGCGGATGTCCCGGGAGGAGTGCGGGGGAGTGGGGAGACATGGAAGGGCTCCGGAGGTTTCGGG